AGGAGGTGTTGATGTGAGGGAGGTGTTGGTGCTGGTGAGGAAGTGTGTGTTGATGTGAGGGGAGGTAAGCAGGAGGAGGTGCTGGAATGTGGAGGAGGCCGTGGTGGTGTGAGGAAGGTGTTGGTGGTGGTGAAGGTTGATGAGGAGGTGTTGGTGGTGGTGAGTAGGGAGGCGTTGGTGGTGGTGTGAGGGAGTGTAAGGATGTGTGAGGGAGGTGTTGGAGGTGAGGGGAAGTGTGGATGTGAGGAGAGGCGGAAGAGGAGGTGGTGTTGGGTGTGAGGAGGAAGCGGTGGTGCTGGTGAGGGAAGTGTGTGTGTTGGATGTGAGGAGGTGTTGGTGGTGAGGGAAGTGTGTGTGTTGATGTGAGGAGGTGTTGGTGGTGCTGTGAGGGAGGTGTTGGTGCTGATGTGAGGGGAGGAATTGTTGGGTGTGAGGGAGGTGTGAGGTGAGGGAGGTGTTGGTGTTGATGTGAGAGGTGTTGGTGGCGGCAGAGGGAGGTGTTGGTGGGGTGAGGGAAGAGTTAGTGTTGGTGTGAGGAGGTGTTGGTGTTGATGTGAGTGATGGTGGTGCTGTGGAGGAGGTGTTGGTGGTGGTGTGGAGGGAGTGCTGGTGGTGGTGTGAGGGAGGTGCTGGTGGTGGTGTGAGGAGTGCGTTGGTGGTGGGATGTGTTGGTGGTGGTAGGGAGGTGTTGGTGGTGGTGTGAGGGAGTGTGTTGGTGGTAGTGAGGGAGGTGCTGGTGGTTAGGGAGGTGTTGATGTGAGGGGAGGTGGTTGGTGTGATGGGAGGGAGGTGTTGGTGGTGGTGTGAGGGAAGTGTGTGGGAAGTTGATGTGAGGAGGTGTTGGTGGTGGTGAGGGAGGTGTTGGTGGTGTGGGAGGGAAGTGTGTAGTGTTGCGATGTGAGGGAGGTGTTGGTGTGATGGGGAGGAAGGAGGTGGTTGAGGAGGTGTTGGTGTGAAGGGAGGTGTTGGTGGAGGAGGTGGAAGTGGTGGTGGTGTGAGGGAGGTGTGTGGTGGTGGTGAGGAGGTGTTGGTGGTGGTGGGAGGTGTTGATGTGAGGGAGGTGTTGGTGGTTGGTGTGAGGAGGTGCTGGTGGTGGTGTGAGGAGGTTGGTGGTGTGAGGGAGGTGTTGGTGGTGGTGTGAGGGAGTGTGGTGGTGGTGTGAGGAGGTGTTGGTGGTGGTGTGGAGGGAGGTGCTGGTGGTGGTGTAAGGAGGTGTTGGATGTGAGGGAGGTGTTGGTGGTGTGAGGGAGGTGTTGGTGGGAGGGGAGGTTGGTGTGAAGGAGGTGTTGGTGGGAGGGAGGTTCAGAGGAGGTGTTGGTGGAGGGAGGGGAGGGCAGAGGGAGTAAGCAGTGAGGAGGTGTTGGTGTGGAGGGAGGTGTTGGTGTGAGGGAGGTGTTGGTGTGAGGAGGCTGGTGTGAGGAGGTGTTAAGGAGGAGTTGGTGAGGGGAGGTGTTGGTGTGTGAAGGAGGTGTTGGTGGAGGAGGGTTGGTGTGAAGGAGGTGTTGGTGTGAGGAGGTGTGAGGGAGGTGTTGTGTGAAGGAGGTGTTGGTGTGAGGGAGGTGCAGGGAGGTTGGGTGGGAGGGAGGTCTTGGTGTGGAGGGAGGTCTTGGTGGTGGTGTGAGGGAGGTCTTGAGGGAGGTGAGGGGAGGTCTTGGAAGTTGGTGTGAAGGAGGTGTTGGTGGAGGGAGATGTTGGGTGAGAGGGAGGTGTTGATGGTAAGGTGAGGGAGGTGTTGGTGGTGGTGAGGGAGGTTGGTGTTGGTGTGAGGGAGGTGTTGGTGTGAGGGAGGTTGGTGTGTGGTGTGAGGGAGGTCTGGTGGTGAGGTGAGGGGAGGTGGGTGGAGGTGTTGGTGTGAGGGGAGATGTTGGTGGTGGTGTGAGGGAGGTCTAGGTGGAGTGAGGGAGGTCTTGGTGGTGGAGTGAGGGGTTTGTTGGTGTGAGGAGGTGTTGGTGTGAAGGGGAGGTGTTGGTGTGAGGGAGATGTTGGTGGTGGTGTGGGAGGGAGGTCTGGTGGTGGAGTGAGGAGGTTCAGAAGGAGGTGTTGGTGTGAAGGAGGTGTTGGTGGGGAGGGAGTGCAGGGAGGGAGGGTGTTGGGTGTGAGGGAGATGTTGGTGGTGGTGTGAGGGAGGTCTTGGTGGTGGGGAGTGAGGGAGGTCTGTGTTGGTGTGAAGGAGGTTGTGAAGAGTGTTGGTGGGAGGAGGTGGTGTGAGGGAGGTGTAGGTGAGGGGAGGTGTTGGTGTGAGGGAGGTCTTGGTGTGAGGGAGGTCTGGTGAGGGGAGGTGTTGGTGGTGGTGTGAGGAGGTCTTGGTGGTGAGGTGAGGGAGGTCTGGTGGTGGGAGGTGAGGAGGTCTTGGTGTGAGGGGAGGTGTTGGTGGTGGTGGGAGGGAGGTCTTGGTGGTGAGGGGTGAGGAGGTCTGTTGGTGAAGGGAGGTCTGGTGTGAGGGAGGTGTTGGTGTGGGAGGGATGGGTGTGAGGGAGGTGTTGGGTGTGGGAGGAGGTCGTGAGGGAGGGGTTGGTGGTGGTGTGAGGGAGGTCTTGTGGTGAGGTGAGGGAGGTAGAAGGAGGTTGGTGTGAGGGAGGTGAGGGAGGAGCTGAGGGAGGTTGGGTGTGAGGGAGGTGTTGGTGTGAGGGAGGTAGGTGTGAGGGGAGGCAGGTGAGGGGAGGTGTTGGTGGTGGGAGGAGGTCTTGGTGGAGGCAGTGGAGGTCTGGTGTTGGTGTGAAGAGGTGTTGGTGAAGTAGGTGTTGGTGTGAGGGAGGTGTTGTGTGAGGGAGGTGTTGGTGTGAGGGAGGTGTTGGTGTGGAGGGAGGTGTTGGGTGAGGGGAGGTGTTGGTGTGGGAGGGAGGTGTTGGTGGAGGGAGGTGTTGGTGGTGGGAGGTGAGGGAGGTCTGTTGGTGTGGAAGGAGGTGTTGGTGAAGGAGGTGTTGGTGTGTGGGAGGGGAGGGGTGTTGGTGTGAGGGAGGTGTTGGTGGTGGTGTGGAGGAGGTCTTGGTGGTGAGGTGAGGGAGGTCTGGTGTTGGTGAAGGAGGTGTTGGTGTGAGGAGGTGTTGGTGAAGGAGGTGTTGGTGTGAGGGAGGTGTTGGTGTGGGGGAGGTGTTGGTGTGGGGGAGGTGTTGGTGGGGAGATGTTGGTGTGGGGGAGGTGTTGGTGTGAGGGAGGTGTTGGTGGTGAGGTTGGGGAGGTCTTGGTGTTGGTGTGAAGGAGGTGTTGGTGTGAAGGGTGTTGGTGTGGAAGGAGGTGTTGGTGTGGGGGAGGTGTTGGTGGTGGTGTGAGGTCTTGGTGGTGGTGGGGAGGTGTTGGTGTGGAGAAGGAGGTGTTGGTGTGAGGAGGGTGTTGGTGTGGGGGTGTTGGTGTGGGGAGGTGTTGGTGTGAGGGAGGTGTTGGTGGGTGGTGTGAGGTCTTGTTGTTGGTGTGAGGTCTTGGTGGTGGGTGGGGGAGGTGTTGGTGAGGGGAGGTGTTGGTGGTGGTGTGAGGTCTTGGTGGTGAGGTGGGGAGGTCTTGGTGTTGGTGTGAAGGAGGTGTTGGTGTGAGGTGTTGGTGTGAGGTGTTGGTGTGAGGTGTTGGTGTGGGGGAGTGTTGGTGCAGGGAGGTGTGGGTGTGAGGGAGGTGTGGGTGTGAGGGAGGGTGTGGGTGTTGGTGTGAGGTGTTGGTGTGGGGGGTGTTGGTGTGAGGGAGGTGTGGGTGTGGGGGGAGGTGTGGGGTGTGGGGGTGTTGGTGTGGGGAGGTGTTGGTGTGGGGTGTTGGTGTGGGGGAGGTGTTGTTGTGGGGGAGGTGTGGGTGTGGGGGAGGTGTGGTGTTGGTGTGGGGAGGTGTTGGTGTGGGGAGGTGTTGGTGTGGGGAGGTGTTGGTGTGGGGGTGTTGGTGTGGGGGAGGTGTTGGTGTGAGGAGGTGTTGGGTGTGGGGAGGTGTTGGTGTGAGGTGTTGGTGTGGGGGGTGTTGGTGTGAGGTGTTGGTGTGGGGGTGTTGGTGTGAGGGAGGTGTTGGTGTGAGGTGTTGGTGTGAGGCAGGTGTTGGTGTGAGGGGCAGGTGTTGGTGTGAAGGTGTTGGTGTGAGGTGGGTGTTGGTGTGAGGTGTTGGTGTGAGGCGGTGTTGGTGTGAAGGAAGTGTTGGTGGTTGTGTGGTTTTTTTTTTTTTTTATGGGCCCGCAGACGTATGTCGTCGGACGTTGTTCAGTTGGGCGTTAACGGCATGACTGAATATAGAGCAGTGCAGTGTTGATTTTATAAAATATCTTGAATTACATCTAGTGAAATTAAAATTTTATTGGTGAAATACTGCATCAAGATGGAGTCCCCTGAAGGTGATTTCTCTTACATCATCATCAAGGATTCTGCAATGTTTACGGTTCACGTTCGACATCACATGTTCAATTGATTCGTGTCTTTTGTTTGTGAAGTGTTTCTTGAGAGGTGCTCTCAAGTAAATATCAAGAAAGTTGTGCTCTTTAATATTTTTGCATTTTTTATATTAAAATTATTAGTCATTTTAAAATTTAGTTAACATATTGATAATATGCAGTACAGAAACTAGTTTTTAGTAAGCCCATCAGCAACACACCCACCAGCAGTTTGTCTTTGTTAACAGTGGAGTGAACATCAAATTTGTTGGTGTCTTGAATAATTTTGCATTTTACATTAAAATTATTGGTCATTCTGAAATTTAACATATTGATAATATATAGCAGAGTGCAGTGTTGATTTAAATAAAATAATCTTGAATTACACAGTGAACTTAGAATTCTATTGGTGAAATTACTGCATCAAGGATGGGTCTAAAGGTGATTTCTCCTCCATCCTCACCCCAATTCTAATTCATCATCATCATCAACAGGCGACTCTGTGGAAACTATGTGTTAGATTAACTGAGGGACCACTGTATTTGCATTTGGCGAATTTGAATTTGGCGCATTTTTTCCAGTCTATATTACTTGCGAAATACAAGATCTTACTGTTTTATATTTTTAGTGCTCCCTGTTATTCAAAGTCAAATAATTTAATATTTACCATATTCAGTGAAAGACATTTGTTGTTCTTGTGCTCCCTTCCTGATGGCATGAGCAGCCATGAGCAGGGTTGCCTTTCAGTGATCAGAGACCCTCCTAGGATGTAGAAAGCCCAATAATAAGGGAACACCTGAAAAAAAAAAAATACCCATAGAGTCTTCTGAGGAGAGCATCATAACAATCACAAAATATATATTAAATAACTAAAAGACAGAGATGGGAAGATGCCTTCCATATAATAAAGTAAACACCAGGTAAGACAAAGTGTAAGTCATCTAATGAACACCACGTCCTGGAGAAGCTGTGTTCTAGAGTACAGAAGAAGAACCGGAGAACTAAGGTATAATACAATGCAGTGTAGTGTAGCTCATAGAATTGCATTTTGATTAACTCAAGTTTTCTCCATATTAATTATCTCAATATATTTAACCACAGCTACTCCTCGACTTACGACATACTCGACCTACGACCACCCGGACATACCTCAGTACATCCAAGTCGTATTTAAGTCCCAACGTTAGTGTGCATGTGCTGACAATTTTCGTTTATGTCATTTAAATGGCTGGAAACTTAAAAGTGAGAGTTTTGTGTGCTGAAAAAAAACACCCATTTTAGATTTTCTATGTATTATTTAAGCATTTTAGACTTAAACCAATTAAACTTAATTTGGGTCCCTAACCCGTGGTAAGTCAGGGAGCAGCATTTACTCTCTTATATTTACACTATTGTATAACTTTGTACTATACTGTACAGTCAACCCATGATTCACATTCACATTCTGGTGCCACGAAACCGAATGCTCATGGTCGTGGAAACATGCATTTTGAGATCAAACCTCCGCCATCTCTCCCGCCATCCGCCATGTTGTGTGGCATGTGGAATTGCAGTGTGTCTCTTTGTTCTTAGGAAACGCTAATGACATGGTCAAACCTCCCGCCATCTCTCCCGCCATCCGCCATGTTGTGTAAGCGGCGCGAGTAGGTTGCGCAGTGTGTCTCTTTGTTGCGTTATCAGTGACGTCATATGACGTATCGGACTGTAATTGGGCCATGCATCCTTACCTCCCTCCGCTGCTAGCTGTGATTGGTTTAAAGTAATATGACGTGTCCACCCGCGGGAGGGAGGGAGGAAAGACGACGCTTGACCTAGCCGCGGCAGTTTCATCCCTCCAGGCCACACCGTGTATACGTGAATCAATTGTTCTGTAAAATGGCTTCCGCCGGACCACCGCCCCAGAGAAAACCTTTCCTTACCTGGACCCAGCCGCCCTAAGCCAAAGAAGACACGACGTTCCTTAAGCTACGAAATTAAGTATAAGATCATACAAGAGTTGGAGAAAGGAACAAGACAGGTTGATCTCGCGCGCCAGCATGGTGTTAACGAGTCTACGATCAGGACAATTAAGAAGGATGCAGCCAAGATAAAGGAGCACATGAACATCACAAAGTCTACAGGTGCTTCTATGATCAAGTATTTCCACAACCAGGTGCTTCTCAAGACGGAAAAATTACTTGTGAGCTACTTGGTGCGTCAGGCGCGACGGAACATGGCGGTGGACACGCGCTGTTAAGGAGTACGCACGTGAACTGTATGCTGCAGTGTCACGAAAGATGGGAATTACAGAGCCCAAACCCTTTAATGCTTCCTCTGGGTGGTTACAGAGGTTTAAGATGAGGAACAAGATCACCAATATCAACATTGGTGGTGAAGAAGCTAGTGCTGACCGTGTTGCGGCTAGGGAATTTCCTCGGTTTTTACGTGAGATTATGGAGGAAGGACAGTACACCGACGACCAGGTGTTTAACATGGACGAATCTGGTCTTTTTTGGAAAAAGCTACCTTCCAAGACCCTCGTTGTGAAGAATGCCAGCAAGATTTGGGGCCGGAAGTTGCAGAAGGAGCGCATCACCGTCCTGTTTACCACCAATGCCTCCGGTACCTGTAAGCTCAAATTATCGGTGATCCACACAGCACGCAAGCCGCACGCCTACAAGAGCATGGACATGACCAAGCTAAATGTCCACTGACTGACCGCACATAAGGCGTGGATGTTCTCTACACTGTCCCTCTCCTGGTTTGATGACTGTTTCGTTCCCGATGTGAAGAAATTCTGTGAGCAACAGAATGTGCCATTCAAGATTTTGTTGCTGTTGGACAACGCACCAGGACACTCGCCCTTACTGTTAGATCGTCACCCCAACGTAAAAGTGGTCTTCCTTCCTCCCAACACTATGTCTATATTACAGCCCATGGACCAAGAGTTAATCTGTAATGTAAAAGCTGCATTCTCTACTAAAAAATTCAAGCTCCTGAACGACTACACCAACACCAGGGAAGAGTTGCGTAACCTGAGTGACACCACCACCGATAGCAAAAGCGAAGACGACGAGGATCAACAGTTGGCAGAGCAACGAGTACTTTTAAAACAATTCTGGAGAATATTCAACATCAAGAAGCTGTGGACTTCTTGGTGGAGGCATGGGATCAGCTGTCTGTAGCAACTGTTCGTCACGCATGGAGACATGTGTTGGAAGGCATTCCGGCCATTAGGCAGAGTCAATCTGTGACTGGTGAGGTTCAGACTGTTGCAGTAGCAGTGGACCTTGCCAGAGAAGCTGCGCAGAGTGTTACAGCTGCAGGCTTCTCTGAGACCACCAACGACAACATCCTGGAGGTGATAAGGGATCCTGATGTGACTACCGACCAGATGGTAGATGATGATGACGTCAGTGAAGAGGCAGGTGGTGCGTCATCCCAAGAAGAGCGCCGCTTATCCCATAGTAATGTTAGGGTGTGCCATTGAGTGTATCGAGAAAGTCAAGCTCCTCCTCTCCGACGACCCTGACGCAAACAGGTATGAAATCTTCACTACCCAGCTGTTGCAGATTATGGAGCCCTACATCAAGGTTTATCACGACAACATAAACACCAGCCGTCAGCAAAGCATAACAGAGTTCTTCGCCCGCAACCCACCACAGCCAGCCCAAGCCAGTGATAGTGACAGAGGTAGAGACAGTGATGATGACTTTGAGGGATTTGTCAGGGAGGCCCTGACAAGTGTGGATGACAGTGATGGTGACTCACCTGAGGGCCAGTAGCCTGCCCTCTGCCTCGGAACCAGCCTCCATTCCCGTACGCCGACCCATCTCTTCTACTAACGTAAGTGTTAACCCCAACCTTGTTTTTTCTAACTTAACCTTCAGTTTATTGAATGTTCCTTTCTATATTATGTGTGGGTGAATACCATCATAAAGTTAAGATGTTATTTTTAGTAAAACGTACGTATTGTGTCGGGAAAAAGTGGAGTTTGGGGGTCGGCCCGGTCTCTATTTCAATTAATCCCATATGTCATGTTGTTCACTTTACACGTTTCTCACTTTACGCGGGCCGCCGTGGGTTGAATTAACCGCGTAAAGTGAGGGTTGACTGTATATGTTTACTGTGTAATACATTGTATCTTATGTAAAGGTGACAATGATTGAAATGCTTCTCAGATAAGCTATGTCATCTTCTTTATAATTCTTCATTAGTTCTGTAATTTTCACTAGTAATTAACTGTATTAATATACAGATGTATGATATCTAAAGGGATTTAACCCCTTGTAGACATATCCTGCAACTGTTTTGATGTATTTCTTATAGGCCTAATTTAAATTTCCCATGTTTTGTATTTGCTAAGATGCTTATTGCTTAAAACATATATGAACAGTAAATAAGTGTTGTTTTCATATTCATATGTAGAGAAATGACGATATGTTTTCACATGTACACACTTACTGTACATACGTTAGCGTTCTCAATCGTCTCGCTTTATTTCTTCACCATTAGTGGTTAGCTACTTCTAGTGTTCCATAAATTAACATCAAATAATATTACTTAAAACATACATACAGGTATTCAATTTTTTTTCATTTAAGTTCACTACAGCTACAACCAGGGTCTTATTTTCTTTAGTTTCTTAGGTAGAACCTTCGTCACTCACGAAAACAATGCCGCCTTGTCTCCTCGTGTGTGTTTTAATATTCTATGTATTATTAATGAATTGCATTGTTCATTTCACATATATAAGCATTATTTTAATCAAATACATATTCAGTAATAAGCAATAATGAAACTTTTGTACATACAGTGAACCCTCACTTTACGCGGTTAATTCAACCCACGGCGGCCCGCGTAAAGTGAGAAACGCGTAAAGTGAACAACATAACATATGGGATTAATTGAAATAGGGACCGGGCCGACCCCCAAACTCCACTTTTTCAGACACAATACCTAAGTTGTAGTAAAAATAACTTCTTAATTTTATGATGGTATGCACACACAATTAATAATTAAGAGAAATATCAATAATATTAGGTTTTTTAACACTTACATTAGTAGAAAAGATGGCTGGGCACACGGGGATGGGGGGTTGGTTCCGAGGCAGAGGGCAGATTATTGGCCCTCACCTGTATCACTTGTATCAATTGTATCACTATCCACCACAGAGGCTTGCAGGGCCTCTTTGTCAAACCCCTCAAAGTCCATATAAGTCCATATCCTCACTATCATTATCACTATCACTGACTTGGGCCGGCTGTGGTGGGTGGCGGGTGAAGAACTCAGTAATGTTTTGATGACTGGGCGACCTTGTGCGCACCCTGCTCGTGCCGCTCTCCGCGTAAAAGTGTACACACACCGCGGAAAGTGAGCATTCCAGTTTCGGCAGGGTACCGCGTAAACGAGGAAACGCGTAAAGTGGGACCGCGTAAAGCGAGGGTTGACTGTATTCTTAAGATGAATGACTATGTTTCCTTGAGTGCGCACGTGCACCTCGTTCAAGATTCTTCGAACACTGCTGGAGACCGCTGACAACTCAAGGCCGTTTGTTTTACTATACTACGTAGTAAAAATTATGAATGAAGGTAAAAGTGATCGGTGATTGGTTACTTAGTTCCCCGTTGCTTAATTAATGGTTGGTCTTTGTTGTTTCGAATTATATTATACTTTTCTGCTGGTATATACTGTTAATTTGATTTTAAAATGGATAGGGCAATGGGCCAACCTATATGAATTCATGTTTAGACAATTAAACATAAATAAAAATCGGTAATTATGTTAACGAACATCAAGCATCGGGCACAGCTGTGT